GGGCCTGGAAGCAGATGTTTAGCCAGGAGGTGACATAACTTAATCATCTCCGCTATCCATTTCGACAATTATTGAGTCAAGATCCCGAGCCCCTTTTTATGTTCCACGCAGGAAACGAAAAGGTGAATATCCCTATGCAATGCTTTGGTTCTGTCCAAGTAGAACAAGAGAGCTCTCCTAACATCTAGTAGATGGAGTCACCTCTCTGAATCGGACTTCGGGTCAAGAAAGAAGGTAGGTAAGGAGACTTCCGCTTGAAGGTGAAAATCTGAGATGATTTTTGGGAGAAATTTGATGTCAGGGAGTAATGATACTCCTTCCCCATGGAAATGGAGATAAGGTGGGTCGCACCTAAGTGCCCGCAGCTCACCCACTCATTTGGCAGAGGTAATGGCCACCAGAAAGGCTGTTTTCCAGGATAGCAGCTGAAGGTTGCACGTGGCCATAGGTTCAAAGGGTCATTGAGTTAAACCATGGAGAATTAGGAGTAGGTCCCACGCAGGGGTGGGTTCCTTCACTGGGGGGTAGAGACGGAGCAGGCCCTTCAAAAAGCGTTTAGTGTCTGGGTGGGTGAACACAGAGGAGCCATCTGTGCGATTGTGGTAGGCTAAGATGGCGGCAAGGTAGATCCACAAAGATGAATGACTCATGCCCCTATCCACCAGAGTGAGCAGGTAATTAAAGATGAGAAAAAGGCCTGCTGTTGCCAGGGAGGCCCCGTGGTCCCGGGCAAAGGACTCAAACGTCACCCACTTGTAGGTGTAGGACCTCCTCGTGGACTGTTTTCTACTATTTATCATGACATCCCTCACCCTTTGGGAGAAAGAGCCTAGGTGATCCTCCACACCGTCAGTTTTAGATGGGGAACATCGTGATGGACGACTTTCCCCCAGTGAGAGAGAAGGAGGTACGGAACAGGGGGGAAATAATGAATCTCCCCCTGGGATAGATGGAGAAGGAACCAGGATTGACATGGAGTGATGAGGATGCACTCTGGCCTCTCCCTCAGGATCTTGTTGGCAACCCTGGTGACGCGTGGAATTGGGGGAAACATGAATAGAAAACTGTCCAACCAAGGGATGAGTAGGCCGTCTGCCAACGACAGCAAGTCTATGCCCCCCCCCCCGGCAACAGAAATTCGGGCATTTCCCAGTGTGCCTCATTGTGAAGACATCTATGGTCGGGTATCACCACCTGTCGAATACTGGGTGGTGCAGGTGAGTCCAATCATTTCCCATTCGTGCAACTTGGCACTGCCCCTGCTCAGGTGGTCTGCTTGAGTGTTCTGCTCCCCTGGCAGGTGTGTAGCTATCAGGAGGCATAGTCTTTTGGATACTGTCCTCCCCTGATGGTCCTCGCTCCTGTCTCCTGAACTTTATACATGTGGTCCAGCTGTCATGAGGATATAGGGGTAGATACGGGTTTGTCCCATGGTTGTTTTGCAGCTTGAAGCATGACTGTGGTCATGGGAAGGGCTACAGCCGCTGATGTGTCAAGCTGCACAGTGTCAAAGACCATATTGGTCACATCTGGACATGAGTGGACAATGGAGAGACCTAATATGTGTGCCTTCCTTTTTACAAGTTCTCCATACGATTTCAAATCTTCGGATGGAGAAATGGGTAAGTCTTTGGCAGAATGAGTAGGAGGCAATGGCTCCAACTCTGGAGTGTGATGCACTGAGTCATCATCATCAGAGTCCCTTCCTCGGGCACTATGGTCGGTGTCCAAAATTTCCAATTCAGTCTGCAGGGGAGTTACTGATGACTTGGGTTTGATGTATGTTGATGCCGATGGTCCTATTGGTATCAACAGGGTTTGCTCTGTCAGATTCGGCCCTGGCTTCTGTCAGTGTCATAGTGCCGATATCGGAGCATCGACTGGTTTCTTCGATGTCGCTCGGTGGGGTGAACTGGAGTGATAAGAAAATGCGGAACGTTGATCCCAGTGTGATGGTCCTCACATCTGGAGCCACAGAAAGGGGGGAGGATAGGCACCATATAAGAATTGGAGTTGCCTCTGATCCCATGGCAACATTGGCGGTACTTGCCACTGAGGTGGTTGAGCATCGTGGATGGCACCTGGCTCTCACAAGCACCTTGCGATCGATGGCGATGGGTGCCAGTGGTGGGGAGCGGGTGCCAGTGGTGGAGAGCTGTTTCTGCTCATTGAGCCCAATGAGGAAGAGCAGTGACAGCTTCTCTGAGTGAGATCAATCTCATCAACCTCAGTCTCAGAAACGCTGAGAGATTGTGACGCAATGTGGTGGGGTTTCAATACCCGGGAGTTCTCCCGATCCGTCTGTTGTTGAGTCAGTGCCGATTGGATGGAGATCGGGTCCAGTGATCATGACACAGCCTCCGCATCTGTATGGTGATGCATTGCGTCCTGTGTAGGGCTTGTAGCTCGGTGCGGCTGGCTAGGGTGTGTCTCTTTGCCCTTGTCCAGCACATGGACCTTCTTTTTGTGCTTCTTCGCAGGAGAATCCGAGGAGGACTTTACGGTCAAGCCCAACCTTTTCGATGTCAACACCCTGAGATCAGGAAGGGTCGACGTCGATGGCTTCAATGGAGTAGAGTGTCGAGCCAGTCACAGCAACTGGTTGGTCGATCCCTTGGCCAGTACAGACTTAGTAGCCATTGTAGGTGGGGCCAGGGCCGATTCCAAGAGTGCGGCTTGCAAGCGAGCGGCTGTTTTTCTTGGTCTGCTTTGAGAACTTAGCACAGTGGGAGCAAGTGTCTGTCCTGTGAGCCTCACCTAGGAGCAGCAAGCACAGGGAGTAGCCATTGGTTGGAGCTAGTTTGCTCCCACAGTGGGAACACCGTTTGAAGAACCCCCGCATAGACTAAATAGTAAGTTCTTTCTTTTTATTTTTTATTTTTTGTAGGGAGAAGAACTGAGCTGAAGAAAGGGAGAAATTCACCAAATAGAGCAATGAAGAAACATCCTATTCACGTGGTGGTCAGAAGAGAACTGGCGGGATATCTCTGCGCCCCACCCTGAGCATGTGTGGTGGAGTTCCTGGGCATGCGCAGGGAAGAAGGCGCAAAAGATCCTCTTTGGAGCTTAGAAGTCACCACTCGGGGTCGGCGCAGGCGCCTGGAGTCCCAAGGGTGTGATGCACAGAGACCACGAAGAAGATTCTAACAACACCTATAACAGAATTTGAAGGTATACTTTAAAATGACACAGGACATATCTCAAAAATCTACAAAATCTTAATTAATTTGGAGAGCTCAAGATCACGCCCTTGTCAAAAGGCTTGGCATGACAACTGTAAACTAGTTTTTACTGACTCACAATGGGAAGTTATATGGCAATAAAAAATGTTCACAACCAATATAATTAATATACTAACACAATCTTTAACCTTTTTACCAGATGGTATTTGACTCCTGTTAAAATACACTATATTGCTCCTAAATTTCAACCTTTGAGTTGGAAACAATGTGGTGAAATTGGTACTTTATACACTGTTGGTGGAATTGTGATCATCTTAGAAAATTTTGGCAAAAGATTATAGCTCACAGAAAATGCATCACAGGATATGCAATTCCTGAAAAACCTGAGCTCATTTTGCTAAATTACTGGAAAGATCGATCTATCCTGGCCATTTGCAGAGATGTGAAGGCAGGATACAAATAAATTGTGTAAACAAAACCCATAATTACAGATGGCTGCACATTCTGAGGTAAGACCTTTTTTCATCCAACTTGAAGTGAGGATGAAGGAAGAAAGCAGGGGCTCCTGGTTTTCGAGGAAAATCACCCTTATGGCCGTCTTCCCCTGGCCTGACAAAGGCCTTCTGGGAGGAACAAAACTCCTGCCTGGGAGGGAGATTTCCAGGAGGACTACACAAGTCATTCTGGTGGTCCTATGGAAAACCTTCTGAAAGGGCAGGATTTGCTGTGCAAATGGCCTGAGGTGTTTCAGTGACAGCTACTACTGCAATGTCCCTGAGGGCCTGAGGACAGTGACTGATGGTGCCTCAAGGAATCAGAGGGGGCTGGGACTTGGACCAGGCTGAGGGCAGAGGGAAGGGCAGGTAACTGGCCCTTGGGGCCACAGTTTTAGCACCGGCACTTCCGGAACCCCCCACTGCTTAGGAATCACAGGTCCTTCTGGCAGCACCCACTGGTGAAAGTGATGACTGGGGGCGGGTGTGTGTGTGGCAGACTGACTGGAGGGCATCTGCCTATCCACAAGCCAGATCTGTTTACCTAGGAGTTCAGAAATGGCCTTTAATGTCCAGCCAGAATGCCACAACCAGGGTACTGGTTCACAGAGACTTCTGTGCTCTTACTACTAGGTTGAAAAATCCATGGGCCACTAGAGGGAGATAAGAACTACTTTCACCACCTTCGTGTTGAGGTCAGCCGATACGAGGAAAGCTCTCTACAACCGGTCTGAGGTGCTACTTCTACCAAGAGACCATAGGGCTGATGCCTGCTCATCGGCTACACACAGTCACTTCACCGGAACCCCCAGGTTAGGAGGCCCATCATGCCGTCTTGTACTGCTGCCCTTGATAGCCAAGCGAAAAACACCCCTGAAACTCAGAGCAGATGCAGGGACAACCTCTGCTGCCCCTTTACCAAGTGGGGCTGGTCCCTACAGTTATGCGGATCTTAGGATATACACAGAAGCCAAGCGATTACTTGCTGTTTCCCAGCTCAGCATTTCAGCCTACCCTGACTCTGATGCTAGACCGGGGCAAGTGCCACAAAAGGAAACGGGGGGGAGGGGGGGTTGCTTCTTCTTTTTTTTAAGGGAAGAGATTCTTTTTCTGCAAAAAGGGACATTTAAGTTGTTAGAGTCAATCTTTTATCCTGCTGCCCTCTTCTCTTGAGAAAGAAAAGGAGCAGAGTTGCAAATTCAGGGCTTGCATCTATCCAACTGACCATGGAGATTTCTACAAAACTAGTTAACTCCAATAACATAATCTCAAACCTCTGTAGCAGTAACGGAGAAATACTAAAAAGATGTAGAGACTTCCATACCCAAGTCCATCTTTGTGGGTTGTTTTATCCTATTAAGTTTATAGGGTTCTTTCTCTTTAGGCGATATGATTCCACTGGCTACCAGCCCGCCTGAAACAAAACAGAAGTTATAGAATCACTTGTGCATAATCAGCTCTAAAAAATTGTTAATGAAGGCAAGCAGAACAACGTGGCATTAGAGCAGCAACATGACCAAGAGCAGACCAAGCATTTTGGGCCCTGTGGCTTGGAGGGCAGAAGCTGTTCTACTGGCTGGCAAACCAACGAAAGGTGATTAGAGACACTGCAGAGCAGACTTCAGAACCTGCTCCTTCGTGAGAAATACAGTCTTGTCCAGAACAAGCTGAATCCTCAATTCTTTTATCAGATGGTTATCAGATGTTTGATTGTGCTTCAGTTTACTGGTCCACATCCAATCTACTGCCGCCTTCAAACACTCTGGGTGGAAACCATGTTTGCCAATTATTTCACAGCCCTACAGATACTCCTACAGCTTAAAAGCAGAACTATTAATGGTAGCCTAAGAACTGGGCTAGATATTAAAGCAATATGGTAAGTGAACTGACACACACACACAAAACACGCAGACATGCAAACAAAACTTGCCTGATGGAAAAACTCTCGTTGCTGTGGTTGAACAGTAATGCAGAAGCACACAGCCCTGAGATCAACCAAAGAAAGCCGCATTCCCTTCAATAATGAAAGTTACAACCTACTCATGGTGACTCCATCCACAGGGTTTTCAAAGCAAGAAACGTTCAGAGGTGCCTTGCCATTGCCTTCCTCTGCAGAGTAACACATGTCTCTCTTGGTGGTCTCCCATCCACGTACTAACTGTGGACAACCCTGCTTAGCTTCCAAGCTCTGATGAGATCAGGCTACTGGCACCCTTCAAATCCAAAGTGGACTAGGCAGCAACCTTTTTCAGGGCTACAAATAACAGGCATATAACCCCTTCACCACTTATGAAAATGGCACGAGTTCTATAGCATCCTTCAATAGAGACAAGGAAAGGCTATCAAAACATGGTTGGATAGCTATGAATTCAGCTGAGGGAAGGACAGTGAATAGGGGAGTGCATTCGGTTTATCCTAGCCAACTCTCCCCCCCAAAAAAAACTTTCCAGTATTTTTCAGGTATTTTCTCAGCCAGACATCAAGTGGGCTGCTGATTCAGCTATCCAAAAATGGCCACACCGAAAAATCCCAAAAATACTTGGGATTTTTCGGGTCCAGTGGATAGCAGGCACTTAAACGAACTGTCCCTTTAAATGCCTGCCTTCTCCAAACAATATGACTCCATGGCTAGTAAATCATACCTTCGGAGCTCACTGGTTGAAGAGTCGCATAGCTTGGAGAAAGCAGGCAGTTAAAGGGACAGTTCCTTTAAGTGCCTTTTGCTTTCTCCATTGGAAACAATAGAGGATGGGGGCACCTTCTTCTGGGGCCGACAGAATTGGGTCCCCAGGTCCAATCCTTTGGAAACTTGGAGGGGGATTTGAGGACAGTCTTCAGCAGCTATGCTGCAAATTTGGTGCCTCTACCACAAAAACCACCCTCCCAAACCCCAGATACCCCCAGATCAATTCTCTGTATAGGATATAATAGACCCCCCCCCCAAAATTGCCAATCCCGATTATTTCCCAGGTTCAATATACCCGAACCCAAAAAATGCTGATTTTTTCCCTTGCACATCCCTAGCAGTGAACTCCATGGTACAACCTGTCCATATAATGGTGACAACCTACTTGTCTTGAGTAGCACAGTCCCAATCCTCAAAGGTGCCATCTAAGCATGGGGTGACACGGAGGCAGAATAGGGAAGACCAGCGACTCAGTAATGCCCTTCCTTGTGCCTACAAGTCCCCCTTCTGCTACTTTGAGAGAAGAGTGCTCCAGCCAGGACTACTCAGCTCTGCTCTCCTCAGTGTTTGGGGCAAGTGAATCAGACTTATCCCGGATCACCAAGTTGTTCTTTAGATATGTTGTTGAAGGCTTTCACAGCCGGAGTTCATTAGTTGCTGTAGATTTTCTGGGTTGTGTGGCCATGGTCTTGGCATTGTAGAACCTGACGTTTCGCCAGTAGCTATGACTGGCATCCTCAGAGGTATAACACAGAAAGATGGAGTACTCTCTGGGTCAAGGTGAGAAGAAAAATGGTAGGCAGGTAATTCTTCTTCTTCTTCAGGTAATTTCTATCTACTCCAGAAGGTGGGGTGGGGCTGAGTCATTGTAGGAGTTCCCCAGGCTATGAACATGCTAATGGAGAAGCTTTCCTGAGGAGGTTCTTTTGTATATAGATTGTTTCCTGAGGAGGGTTTCTCCTCCATATACAAAAGAACCTCCTCAGGAAAGCTCCTCCATTAGCTTTTTTCAATGCCCAGTACTCTCCTGGAGAGAGAGTTCTGGCAAGGGACATTTGCTGGCAGAAGGAGAGGGGGTGGTGACCCACCCAGCTGTGCTATAGCCTTGTCCCGAGGCAGAATGTTTTCGGAGCCCAGACGAGATGCAAGTCACGCCGAGCGCAAGAGGGGGTCTAGTCGAACCGAGCGGAATCCAAGAAGAGAGAAGGCTCAACAGGAGGAGGCTTAACGAAATTAAGTATAATATAAAACAATTTATTTCCTACCCTAGTTGATCTCTCGAGGGATTTGTGCAGAGGAAATCTGAGTGAGAGTGAAGTGTGTGAGGTGGAAATGCCGAAGGGAAAGGAGAGGAAAAGAAAGAGGGTTGGGGCTTCCCCGAAGTGGCTACAGAAAAGCAAAACAAGGAAAGTTTCAGGAAGAGTGTCTGAATACAGAAAAGGTCCTGCCGCTGAGTGTCCATATGGATCTAGAGCCGCTGACCGGGACAAGCGGCAGAGATCGAGCATTTTGAACGTGTTCTGAGCTAGGTTGTATGACCAACAATGAACAGTGAGTCGGGTTAAAGCGAATACGAGAATTTTTTTTAAAAAAGCTACGCCCTGGGAATGGCGAGAAAAATGAGCGGGGGAGGGGCCCCTCCCATGCACATGAACTAAATAATGAAATACTAAGGGGGGAGCAGAAAAAAAAGCGTTGAAATCTGTTTTAAGAGACTTACCAGAGCACGGATAAGCGTATGGGCGAATTTCAGAGACTTCAGCAAGTTGAGCGCTGGGCTCATTTGTTCCCCGACGAGGAGCAACAAGTGGATTTCATTGCTTCCCGCTTGCGGGGTGCGGTGACTACCTGGTATGTGGGCCTCTACGACCTGGAGGTTGTGGAATTGGGAATCAACCCCTCCGTGGTCTCAGGACTGGACGCTGACGTGGTCCAGTTGGCCGACCCATTAGTCTTTACCCAAATGGATTGGTCCCCGATGAAAGAGCCCTGTAGATTTGAGACTGTACCGTTACACATGGGGGCCGGGGATCATTGGGAAGAACGGACTTTTATTGTGTCCCCGGGGGCTAGATTTCCCCTGGTGTTGGGAAACCCGTGGCTCCATGGGCATGATCCCTATATTCTGTGGGGTGACAGGATTATCAACTTAATCTCCCCCAAGTGCCAGAGCCATGTGTGGAACACGAGGTGGGGGATGGCTCCTGACAGTACCCAAGTGCGGGCGTGTTTAGCTACTGAGGACCTCGCTAAAATTCCTCTGGAGTATAAAGATTTAGTCCGGGTTTTCCCCATGCTATTAATCAAAGATCTCTTAGCCGAAGTAGCTAAGGGAAAGATTTTCTCCAAACTTGATTTAAGGGACGCTTACTTTCATGTGCGCATATGAGAGGGGGACGAATTCATAACAGTACAGATTTAAACATAATAAAGCCGTCCAAAGATTATATAGAGATACATGATATATTAACAAGATTATATTGCACACCAGTCAAACTGTACTGTTTCTTTATCCCTTAATGGTATACTCTACGTGAAAGGTGCAATCACATGACCAGTTTAACTAATTATAAAGCTCCAACTTTTTAAAGTTTACCCACACTGCTTTTTACTTATGAATGCTGTGGCAACACAATCAAAGAAGGAAATTTTTGGACCACAAGTAACTAGTTTATTATTATTGTTGTTTGATATACTGATTTTCATTTTTTCTCCTTAGGTTTATAATCACTGGGCTAGTGATTGCACTTTAAAGGTCTTATGGGCATATTTACCTTGTGCCTGGTGATTTTACTTTTGAAGTAAGTTTATGGTCTATATTTATAGATTGGCTATATAGATTTCAATTTTTTGTAAAATATGTGTGTTTAATCTTTTATTTTTTTACAGCAATTTACTTTATGGTCCTCATTGAATCTATACTTTGTATATATTTCTGATTGTGTTTATGTGAAAATAATTATTAACCATCTTGCCACATATGTATGACCTCTGAGGAAGGCCTATTTGGCCGAAACGTGTACGGTCAACTTTATAAGCCCTTGATATTGTTATATTTTATATGCATTGGTTGTAAATGGGCCTCTATATATGTTTTAAAATTTGTTATTATTATTAATAAACACATGTACCTCTTTTTATCTTTTATGGAAAGGTTTTAATATTGGCCCTCCTTTTCTCTTTCCACATGGAGACATTGGTTGGAAGGGGCGAGGGTGCCATTTGAGGTATGGACGGATCACAAAAATCTAGAACTCCTCCGCACCCCCCGAAATCTAAATGCTAAACAACTTCAGTGGGCTGATTTCTTCTCTAAGTTCCAATTTACCCTACACCATTTCCCGGGCAAGTCGAACTTTCTGGCGGATGCCTTGTCCCGCCTCCTGCAGCACGAAAGCTGGCGGGAGGAGGTCCTAGGTTCAGTGTCCACGCCTTCTCAATTGGGCGTAGTGACGATGTGGGGCCAAGCTAAACGGGCCCTCCTTCTCCCCCCCCCCCCTGGGGATGGGAAACCAAGTTTGCCTCCGCTTTTTCGGAGGCTGATAAACGGGAGGTGGAGGTGGCGGGGGACTTGGTGCAAGAGAAAAATGGTTGCTGGTTTAAAGATGGAAAACTGTTTGTTCCAAGACTGTTGAGGGGGGAAGTAATGGGCCTGGTCTATGGATTTAAACTGGCTGGCCACACAAGCTTTGTAAAATCACTGCACCTACTACAACGCCAATTCTGGT